CCACATCAGCTTATCCACATCATCCCATCAATCCATGTCATCAATTTTGAGATCAGTTCAGGTGTGCTTCTAAAATATAGAAAAAAAATGAAGCCAACAAGATTCAAACCTGGGTGGAATACAAGTAAGGCATGTATCTGAACCACTACACTACACCATTCACTTGTTAACAAATGACTTAGAAGTACTGCGTATAAATCATTTATCCTTCACCCCAGGAGTGCACTATTTCTTAATCGCATGTATTATTCCTTCATTTAAAAATATACCTCTTTACCAAACAATAAAAAATGTAATAATAAAAAACTTAATTTTAGTTATTCAATTAAAAAATAAAAATCTTATTAAAACTTATAATAAAAACATAATTTGCAATATTTAATTCGAAAAATAAATAAATATTTAACTTAGAATACAAAAAATTAATTTAAACTTATAATGACAAAACACAATTTGCAATATGTATTTTTTTTAAATAACTTCAAATGAAATAAAATCAAATAAAATATACTAGTAAGTCATATTTCTAAGTTACTTATTGCATGAAATTTACTTATTTTTTTATTTTATTTACTTTTAAGTTATTTCAAATAACTTTTAAATTATATACTTCAATTTTTTATTATAATTTTAGATTACATTTTTATAGAATTAAATATCGCAAATTAAGCTTTTCGTTTTGATTATTCCGTTATAGCAGCTCAACTCTTCTCGACTCAGTTCAATTTTCTCATTAATTATTATTGTTTCAAATTAAAATACAACGCTCAAATTTGAACTAAATTGTAACATGTTAACTTTTAGTGAAATTTGAAATACAAATACTTTAAGTCCAAGAATGTATACATTTAGCTGTGTATTACTCATTGCTTTAAAAATATATAGCTTCTTTTAAAATAATTTAAAAATTACGCAAAATACTAGGTTTGAGATTTTTTAAAAAATAGAGACTTAATTAAAATTTATTATTACTAAATGTTATGAAAGGCTCTAACCCACCCCAATTTAAAATCACATACTATTCATGTCAAGAAAATCATATAAATTTATATCTAAGAGAAAGAAAAAACTTGATAAATTTATAAAAGAAAAATGCTTGGTTCCGAGGCGGAGTCGAGCCGAGGCTAAACAAAATTGAGCTGTTGGAGAATTTTCATAAAGAAAAATTTATTCGATTCGATATTTTACATTAATACTAAACCTTTTATAGAATTTAAAGTGGACTAGCATGAAATTTACTTATATTTTATTTTATTTTATAAGTTTTTTAATGTTATATGTTTAATTGTTTGGGAAAGAAAGAATAGTGCACTCTCGAGCTGAAGGATAATGCGTTATACACTTATACGGACTACTACTTAAAAGGAACTGATAACAAGTGAATGGTGTATTGTAGTGGTTTAGATGCATGTCCTCATTGTCTTCCTTGTGGTCCACCCAGATTTGAATCCTGCTGGCTTCATTTTTTGGAAAACACCCCTCCATGGGAAAATCTCTAAAAAAGTGTGTATATTTTTGGAGTTTACTAGAAGTCTAACTTTGGGTTGTAAATTTCTCCTACCAAATTTACCCTAAATCATATACCCACTCAAATCACAGTAGTTTCAAATTTATTACTACCTCCGTCCATTAAAACATTACCTTTGACCGGCACGAAAAATAATAAAGTAAAACTGTGTAGTTGAGGTTTGTGCAGAGGAGAGGGAAATAACAAAAACCACAAAATAATTGATTAAAAGTGAAAGTGTCAAAGTTTTTTGGGACGCCCAAAAAGGAAAGATGACAAAGTTTTAAGGGACGGAGGGAGTAATATCAAATTCAGATCACCCCGTTATAAAGTACTCTATTTCACATTTAAGGGTTTACAGAATCACGGTGTTCATACTGATAATATTTTTTTTTTTGAAAATATGTTTGGAGATATTTATTTTAATATAAACATTTATATATTGTGAAACTATCTTAATCTTAAGATAACAGAAAATAACACGCGGGACTCGCAATTTATACCCTGGGATCGGCATCATGAGGATGGTGCGCCTGATCCCAAAACGACGCAGCATTCATTATTTTTTCTTTTATTATTAAAAATTGTAATAACTTTTTTATTTGATATCCGATTTTTATAAATTTTATATCAAATTTTTTATTTTTCATGATCTATCAAATGACACCAATATTGCTTATATAATTTTAACAGATTATTTTGAAGTTACATTTGATAATATATCATGAAATTACATCTTCTTCTGCGCGAGTTACATCTTATTGTACGCGAGTTACATCTTAATATACACGAGTTACATCTTAATGTATGTGAGTTACACCATGAAATAAACCTCTGCTGCATCTTTCATCTTTATCATTTGAAAAGTAGTGTATGAATATGAAATACAATATACTTATTTTATGTGGATTAATAAAATTTTGTATTAAACTGGCAAAGAAAAAAATTAATTCAGTTATAATTGAATTAGTTCAAGATAACGATAAGTAAAAAATCACAAATAATTAGATATAACTCACACATAATTACATGTAACACGCGCATAAAAGTATGTAACTCGTGTATAACAAAATGTAACTCACACATAACAAGATATAACTCACACATAATTACATGTAACTCTCGCACAAAAGTATGTAACTCGTGTATAGCAAGATGTAACTCACACATAACAAGATGTAACTCACACATAATAACTTGTGACTGGAGTATAAGATGATGTAACTTCGTATATTATCAAATGTAACTCCAAGCTAGAAGCAAAATAAACAAACTCAATATCTTAAAAACCTCTAAAACATATAAAAGTGATAAAAAAATATATTATAGAAAAAGTGTATGCATATAAAAATATATTACAAAAAAATGTATGAATGTAAAAAATTAAAACTACATAGGCAATATTGGTCTCATTTGAAAGATCATGAAAAATAAAAAATCTTGGTATAAATTTTATAAAAATTGGATCAAAAATAAAAAAATTATTAACAATTTTAAGAAAATGAAAATAAAAAAATAATAAAAGGTGCATGATGCTCACCATGCACCGGTACCACGGTATAAGCACTGCGGGAGTATACATTAAAGAAATTGCGAGCATGATCGATACTTTTTAGATTGCCTCTCTTAGAGTCCATTTTTCAATTAAAAGTCTAATACTCTAATAATTAAAATGAATGAGATTAAAGTTATTTCTAAATCAATTGATTAAAGAAGACCAATTGAACTATCTTGAATACAAATGTTTTCTTAATTTTCTTAGAAAAATAGATTTTAAGTATATTTTTTAAAACCCACCTACAATTTCAGTTGTTTCAGCTAGAATTTCACCATTTAAGAAGTTTTTGCCAAAACTTTGTACCTTGTAGCAGGATTACCAATTTTAATTTTATTTAAAATATATTCCTTTTGAAATTGCCAGAAATGGTCAATTCACCAGACAGCTCCCGTTTGTTACATTGGAGTTGATGTATGTTCTAAAATATACTCCGTATCAAATTTTGATTGGAGTATAATCTGTCGAATTCTGATAAAATTAAACTTAATGCATACGAATTATTTTCTTAATATTAAAATCGAAAAATTGTATACCAAAATAGATGACAAATAATTTTTTCAACAGATTCTGCCAATTCACCAAGAAAAAATAACTTTAATCATAATGATTTTGATTAGTACACTAGTAATATTGAGACAGTACATTACATATTTTGTAAAAATGATTGATAACACTAGTATAATGAAGCACAGGTTACCAAGAATATGCGATGGGACAAAAAAATGGACATAATATTACGTACTTGTATCAAATATGGGATGGGACAAAAAAAATGAACGAACAAAAAATGAAAATGAAAGAGTAGTCCGAAGTGGAGATCTAACAGTTATCCAAATAGTCGGCTAATTTAAATCTGAACACTATTTCTCGGGTGGTTATGGGCATCCACCATATGCGTCCAGACGAGCAACAAGGTTAATAGGAACAGGTTGTTGGATTTCTAATTGGGTAACCAAAACAGACCAGATATCACACACTGCTATACTACCATGTCTAACTCCACTATATATCGATCATTATTATTCAAATGAAACACTTGACAGACTCATATTCCCTTCGTCCCTAATAACTTTGTCAGATTTGACCGGCACGAAAAATAATAAAGTAAAAACTGTGTGGTTAAAATTTGTGCAGAGGAGAGAGAACGAGCTAGAACCACAAATTCTTTACTTAAAAGGGAAAGTGGCAAAATTAGTGGGACATCCATAAAAGAAAAGTCGTCAAAGTTATAAGGGACAGAAGGAGTATCATATACACTTCGTATATGTTTTCAAAGCTTACCTTACTTAGTTTATTTCACATAAAAGGACATTTCACATAAAGGGCCTATTTGATAACACTCAGATGGGCCGTATCAGCTGATTCTGTTGAAATTTATTAATTTCCGACTGAAGTGGTTGCATTGAATGATTCTGCTAATTTGTGAAAAAAATTATTTAAAATATAATTTATTTATGAAATAAAGAAAAAATTAAATGAAAAATAACTAAAATTATCATCTACACTAACTTCAGCCAAAACAGCCACAAAAGTAACTTTAACCTTACTTTTTCTTATTATCACACAATTCAAAGTGCGAAATCCAAAGGATGTTTAATGAAAAAGTTAGTTGATAAACCTCAAAAGTCAAAAATTAGCTCAAAAAGTAATAGGATTGTTATTTTTCGATCTGCTTCTAAGCTTTTATTACAGAAATTATTCGTTTTAGAAATCGGGAACTTTTCCTTATTATTACAAACTTCAACGTGCACAAAATAAAAAATTACTACCTCCGACCCCCTAAGTTTAAGACAAAGGAGTGTGGTGTGATTTTTAAGAAAAAGTAGAATTGTGTGGTTGATATTGAATTGTAAATTGTGAATAAAGTAAAAATAAATTATAAGCACCCAAATATTACCAAATATGATAAACTCAAAAACCAAATCAGGAAAAGAGAGCGGATGAAGGTACGGAGTAAATAATAAGAAGCATTAAAACCATATTCCGTAGATCTCAGTGCCAAATCGCTTTCAGCTAGGCGTACGTAAAACTTATTTTTGGAATTTACAATGCCTCTGGTTCCACTTTGTATCCCCAGATATTTTTAATGGAGTACAGCAATTACAATCTATATCTGCAATCATAAAAATGATTAAGGATTAAAGCAAATTGTGCCAAATCCTTTAATTTCTCATCCCATTTCAGCTTCAGAATCTGCATATCTCTGAAGCTTCAACAAATATTATTGAATCTCCAATCCAGTCGCACCTCATGGGCCCCCACAAGATGCTGACTCGGCTTCCGAAATGATACAATATGGCTACTGACCATGTACGCCGTGACCCGCTCCGAGACCCGGATGTCCTCCATCTTCAGAACTTGCAGCCTCTTCACGTACTCCGGCACGTGCACCAGGTCCCACATCACCCCTACGCCGCCGGGCTTCAGCACCCTCACCATCTCCTCCACCACCCTCATCCGATCCGCCTCCGCCGCCGCACTCCGCTGCCCGAACTCCTTTCCCACCTTGTGCACGAACGCCGCCGACGCCACCACGTCGAAGTAGTTGTCTCCAAACGGGAGCGTCCTCGGGTTTCCCGCCCGGCACGTGACGTACTCCTGCACCCCCTCCATTCCCGCCGTCCGGAGGATGGAGAGGGACCGATCTTGGTCCGGGTGTAACCCGACAACCCGGCCGGAGGACCCGGTTTTCTTCAGCTGGAGGGCGACGGCGTTCAGCAGGATCCCCCTGTCGCAGCCGAGGTCCAGGGCATTCTTGACGGAGGACCAGTCCCCGACGGCGTTGACCATGCGCTGCGCCATCTCCCAGTGGAGCGGGACAGAGGAGTAGAATATGTTCCCGGCGGCGAAGAAGAGGCAGACCGCGGAGAGGGCGGTGACGGATCCGGTGAAACCAGCGGCAAATCCGGCGGCGCCGGGGCCGGGAACGAAATGCTGGAAGAAGCAGCAAATTGGTTCGAAGTATACGAGGAAGAACACAGAGAGAGCAGAGAAGAAGACGGCGTGGATGAAGAGAAAGAGCGGCGTTTGCCAATCGCCGACGCCGTAAATCGCATAGATCTGCGTCCAGTCTCTGCCCGTCTTCCCCATTAAAACACAACCTCTGCAAAACCCAGACCTTTTGTTTGAACAAAATGGGATTTCAAATTCCAAATCTGCAATTAAAGTGAATCTGATAATCGCAATTCAAAGAAAGGGAGGGGCGGCCAACTCCCATGATCCCATCTCCAGAAATGGAAGAAAACAAAGAAGAGCAGAGTGGAAGTGGGATTTAATGGGATCTGAAGACTGATGGATTACAGGGAGAATAAAAATAAAATGGAGATCCCAACACAACACGGTAAGACTGAACAGGAAAGTTCTGTACCAAAAGATCACAAAAGAAGAAGATTTACATGTCAGGGTTAAATCGGGTAAATCGATATCTATCAGCAATTTCACGCGTTTGGGTGAGCCCTCACTACGAAGCTTCTTCCAACTTTTATATGAGTGGAGTGTACTGGGCAGGCAGATATTAGATGGAGGAATATATATATATATATATATATATATATATATATATATATATATATATATATATATATATATATATATATATATATATGTAAACATTCTATATATAGATTAGCGTGATTTGCGTGCTATATTCTTATTTTTTGTACCACTGAACATAAAAATTAAGTATCCCGCTTCGTGTACACGAGGGTTACACGTCGGTTAAATTGTTTGTATACAGACAATTTGATCGGCTAGACAGACAATTTGATCGGCTTTTTATGAAGAAAATCGATTTCTGTACAGACAAAATATCAGGAGTTGTATGTATCACAGACATTTTAAATCTTAATTTTTCATAAAGTGTCTGTGATACAGATATTTTTTTTTATTTTTGTCTGTGTGAAAATCAGTTTTCTTCGTAAATCGCTGCACAATATGTCTGTGTAGTCAATCAAATTGTCTGTACACAGACAATTTGACAGGTGTGTAACCCGGCGTGTAAAATTTGACGTGTACAAAAGGAATTTTCAGAAAATAAAAGAGAGGTTAGATGCAAAGAATAACCATTTCACTTTCTTGTCCTTCATTTTAACTAACTCACCCGTCGATTAAAAATTAATAGCTTCTACGATAACACTGAAATAAGTTGAATCAGTTGAAATTGGTGAAACTTTGCTTGAAGCGACTTAATTAGTCCAATCGCAGGAAAAAATGAAATAAATAGTTACTTTACTACGAGTAATAAAATGGTTAAGAGCATATGAATATCCTGAATCAGTCGGAATTAATGAATTTTCCAAACTCCATCTGAATTATATTGTTGAATTTGAAAAGGAATTAATGTAGGTGATATGCAAAACAGAGAGAATTGGATTGGATTGGAGAAGGAGGGACTAGTAATGACTAATGAGCGAGAGACACGTAGAGTAGGGTTGCATTAAAGACGCAGTACTTGGCATTCATGTTGTTTCTTCCTCTGAATGGGATGTTTCACCTCCTCCTGCTTTCAAGGTCAAACCCAGTATTAATAGGCTCCATAGTCGGATCCCGTTTAATTGCTTTCAAAAATTTCTTTTGCTTAGCATTAACTTGCTTCATTTATTACTAGTATATCTTTAATAATACTCCACAACACCTTTTACAAATGTGTCCCGTTATGATTAAGCCTATATTAAATCAATTAGAGAATAGAGATATGTGATAATATGAATACCACAGACACCATCAAAGCTCAAATATATTTAAAAGTGACTCATTCGAATTGTCTTTTTTTTTTTAAATGAGGAATTGTCTATGATACCGACAAAGTATATGGTATAAGGTAACATACACAAAATGTGTACAGGTGAGCGTGCACAAACACAAATTCTCCTTGAAATTAAAATCATATTGAAATAGTTATCCCAAAATAAAAGATACGAATTTTTACATCACATTTCAAATCTTTTCCGGTCATATAAACCTCATAATCTAATCAAATTAAGCTAACCACCTCTACCAACTAAATTGAAAGAAATGTTGGCATTAAAGTTATGGATAAAGCGTTGAATTTTATCATATTCATGCTTCTTGTTCATGATATCAGAACTACCTATGCGCTACATACAGAAGTGGTGATGCAATTGATCAAGCATTCACTAGTCTACCATAATGTGTTTGCCTTGAACACAATTTTTATAGTTACATGTTTGCACGCATGCATATGATAGTGATCGCTTCTTGCTATTTTGCTAAACTACTAGTTGTATTTTATAAAGAATGGAGAGCTATGAATTGGAGACAATAGATGTCTGGTTTTAATGAATTTTGAATTCTTTACACTTACCTCTAAGAGGGATATTTATAGAAGAAATGTGGATTGGGCTCCCAGGCTTGGGTTTGGAAAGCCCAATTACAATGATAGACTACTAAGTGTCTAATACGTACGAGATAGATTATGGGTGTGCACAATTCGGTAAACCGACCGAACCAAACCGATACCAAAATTTCGGTACGTACCAAATACCGAACCGAAATTTCGGTTCGGTAATTGGTACGTATAATTTTGAAAATTCGGTATATGGTTCGGTATATAGATAAATATTTTGGTTTTCGGTATGTACCGAATACCGAAATTAATAAAATAATAAATACTAAATATATAATATATTTTAGCCATAAATATATAATATTTATATATATATATATAATTTTAGTTATGTATTATAAATTTATATAATATATATATGTATATATTAGCCATAAATATATAAATATTAATATATTTATGTATATGTATATCGTTATGTATAATATATATCGATATATATTTATATATACATATATATATATTTCATTATGTATTTATATATTATATATTATATATTTAAATATTTATTTATAAATTATTACATAAATATTGTTGAATGCCTATTTGGTAATTCGGTTTTTACCGAACTAAATCGATTTAGTTCGGTTCAGTATTCGGTATGTGAAAATGCATAATCAAAAATTCGGTTTACCGAAATTTCGGTTCGATTCGGTTCGGTATTACCGAATGAACACCCCTGAGATAGACTATTCTAATAAGTGTACAAGAATGTAGATGCTATCTGCCAGATGTTCTTGGCTGAGGTGTCCTGTACCGATTGGAGCTATTGGCGTTGTTTCTGATTTAAACATTTCTGGACCTTTGTGTAAGTGTGCCTTGTATGGCCTATGCGCTCAGCCGAGTTGGGTAGTCCAGTAGTTGCAGAGTGGTGTGTCCATTTAGTGGATGTGTATTTACAACTCTCTAAGCATGATATGGTCTTATGTATTTAATTTTAATTTGATTTGATCTGATCCACTTAAATTTGATCTTATGGTCTTATGTATTTAATTTTAATTTGATTTGATCTGATCCACTTAAATTTGATCTTATGGTCTTATGTATTTAATTTTAATTTGATTTGATCTGATCCATTTAAATTTGATCTTATGGTCTTATGTATTTAATTTTAATTTGATATGATCTGATCCATTTAAATTTGATTGGTTGTGTGTGAATCGAAACTATTGCAACTAGAGGTGGACATAAAACCCGAACCGAACCGAACCGGTAACGAACCGTCCCGTAATGCTACCAAACCGAATAACGGGTATTTAAATGGTTCTATAGATTTTTATTCCGAACCAAAACCGTACCATTTGAAACGGGTACGTGACCGGTTCTAGATTTTGAGAACCGAAAAATACTGGACCGAATCGTTCTAAAATAATGCATTTGAATTTTTTATATTTTTTCTATACCAATAGATCTCTTTTATAGACCAATAATTTTATATCCCGAGTATGTATTCACGTGTCCCTAAGATATCTAAATGTGTGTGTGTGTATTGTTATTTTTTCTTTTTAGATAATTTATGTTATATTTTGGTATGTATTGAAAGAATATTAAAAAGTTAGAAATCTTTAATGACTATTCATTTGTAGTAATGTAGTGTATATGACTTTTTGTTGTATCATATTTGTGCAATTTTTACAACTTAATTAATATGGTTTAAATCTTAGCTTTCAAGGTTCAACTATAAATTAAGTCAGAACTACGGAGTAATATTTAACGTAGAACGAAGAAGAACGTTGGATATTTCTATTACATTAAACAATTTGATGATATTTTTTTTTATATTTTCACATTAACTTAGTAAATTAAAGATGATATTTATCTCGTACGTCATCGTTTTGCTATTCTTTTTCTTAGTTGTGTTACCCTATTTGTGTATTTGTGAATTTTAGTACTACGTATATAATTTCTTGTATTTATTTCAACATTTCATGTGAGTTGATTGGTGTAATGATATCTACTAATTGCAAGATTTGTTCAAATTGTTTAGCATGTGTTTGACATTGTACCATACCGTTTTGTACCGTTCCAAAATGACAAGGTACTGAACGGTTCTATCCTTTGAACCGGACCGTGTTGGACCATTAAAAATTTCACGGATACATTACGAGTTTTACCAATTTACCGGAGATTACGCTCACCCCTAATTGCAACTAAAAACATCATAATTCAAAGCAATAGGATATTTTGCGCCGCCTGCCTCTCGTTATTCCATTCTTGTTTCATCCGCCCGTCAATAAATGAATAAAGCAACTTTACCTCCGATCACTATTCACAAATCTCTTCTTCCATATCCATAAACTACGGAGTATTAAACTGTAGTGGGACTTTGGGTCTATAGTGGGAGAATATTCTCCAGCCTTGGGAAAGGCTTTGTAATTAAAAATAATAAAACTGTATTAGTAAGAGTTGGTTTGGTGATCCTTTTTCCGGCTTATCAGGTTTATCATTCAGCTTTTTTATTAAACATGTAACTTTCTGTTTCACGTGTTGAATTGCGTAATAAGCAGAAAAAGTAATGTTGGAGTTACTATTCTGGCTATATTGATTGAAGTTACTGCAGAGGATCATTTTAGCTATTTTTCATATAATTTTTTATTTTATTTATTAGTAACAAATACATACTCCCTCCGTCTCAGAATTTACTTCCATAGTACAAATGACACACGGATTAAGAAAGTGGGAATTGTGTGGTGGAGAGTTGTGCAGAGGTGAGAGAAATGTGTAAGAATGTGTAAGAATTGCTGTGAACCACAAATTTTTTGCCAAAAAGGAAAAGAGAAGTTCTTTTTGGGACAGACGAAAAGGGAAAGTTGGAAGTAAATTATGGGACGGAGGGAGTAGTATTTTTAAATATAATTTTTTTATGAATCAGCAGAATCAGCCAATACAACAACTTCAGCCAGAACTTCACAAATTTCAACAAAATAAAACAATTCAGCCAATTTTAGTGTTACCGAACGGACTCTAAAAGTTGATCGAGAATGGGGAGTACATTTTATGACTAAACAGGCATTATTGGGGGCATGTGCCCCATTCAAAATATCTATATGCCCATTAAGATATTTCATGAAAAAAGTCTCACTTTCAAAATTGAGATAAGGTCTCCCTTCATACATGTCATTCTTACCTACCCCGTTTCCAAGTGGGATTCAATAGGCAATT